CCGCGTCCACCCCAGAGGCAGCTGCAACGCCCTCCCGCCGCATCTTCATCTTCCTTTTCCCTCCCTCCATTTCCTTATCCTCCCCCGTGCCCTGAATCCCTCCCTGCTTCCCTCCTGGGTTTCACTTCCCTGCCCACACAGGTGCTGTTGGGTGCAGAGCCAGGGCAAGGGCCTGGTGTTGAAACAGGAGGGCAGAGCAGCCGTTCTGGGCTGCTCCCCTGCCTCGCATACCAGCTCCTCATCTAATCTGGGCAGAGCTAGGGAGTGATTTGCAAGGCCTGCAGGCCCCTGGGTCGTGCTGATATCAGCCAGGCCAGGCACGCCGTAGCAGTCAGCACGTGCTCTTTGCAGTGGGAACTAGACCTCTAGAAACGGCCTCTTATGACTCAGCCGCGGTAATATATGCAGGTTACCCAAGTCCTCCTTTTCCTATGACGTTAGTGGTACGGAGTAGGAGTGCACGTCCCTGTAGTGAGAAGAACTGAGTCATGCTGTATAGATGGGAGGGAGCAGCTTTTGGGGTGCGTATTTGTTCTGCAGCCTGCTTCCTCCAAAGACTAGATGAAATGCCCCTCTTAATGATTAACAGTCCAAGTGACGGTTTGCCTTGGATATTGCTCAGCCCCCTGTACCTTCTCCTCTCTTGCAACAGTAGCTGCCCTTCAGCCCTGGTTCTCAAATATTGAATGTATTGCTTGAGCAATGTTCTCTGCTAGCGGCCGTCACGAAATCTGACGGTGAAAATAATGAAACGTCCCATTACTTTTGGAACAGGGCGGGAGGTAACTGCCCATAACCTGATGGGACTCTCCACGGTCTTGATGCACTAGTGAAAAAATGGTGCAAAGTCTCCTTTTGACTGGCATTGGGTTGGTGCAGGTGGGCAGGAGAGGAATTTTAGTCATCCAGACTGGCCGTTAATGGCTGTGCTGAGTCACAGGGCAGGGATGCAGGCTTTGAGCTGTACAGGAAGGAAGCAAGCCCTGGTTTCGCTTCCAAAACCACAAGTGGAGGCAATGCAGTCCCTGGCCTCCGCTTGATTAAAAATGTGGACTCTGAACAGTTGGGCATTTCCTGACTTTTGCATTCCCTGCCACACTGGGTGCCAAGCATGGTCCTAAGGGCCGTTGCGTGGAAGGCATACAAATGAATGAGCCACGTGCTGTATGTCGAGAGGTGGGATCTGAAGGAGTCCTGGCTAAGGTCGTACTCTGGCCGCATCTTATCTTGTGGAAGCAATGTGTCAGGACCTCGCCTTGCTGCATTTGCTCATTACCTGGTGTAGGTGAGGTTGCAAACCTCCAGGAAATCCTGTTCAGCACCAAGTGGAAGTTCAAGCAAACTGCTGGTGGCTGTATTCCAAAACCTGGGCCCTGCAGAGAGGCAGGACTCTGCCATGGACGTGCTCTCGCGCTTTAGACTGCTTCGTGGTCCTCGGCAGCCTGTCGTATTGAGTAGCAACGAGTGGCTGTGTCCATCTTTGACCATATTTCCTTACCAGAAGAGGGGCATTTGCGTAGTGATTTAGCAAGTGCGAGTAAGCCACAAAATCCTTCCCTCTTTTGGCAATGAAGATGTGGCCTAAAAGTCTCTTCAATCTGTTTAATCCTGAGGTTGAAATTAGCTTAACTGGCCGTGCCAGCTGCTAGTGTGATGTACTGTCCCCATACACCAGAATTTGGGTGGGACCTAAGTCAAGACATCTGAGAGGCTTGATGTGGCAGAATTTGGGACACCCCAAGTCCCAGCCTAGTGTTTCCCTGCCTGCCTTTTCCTGTCTTCCTAATAGGAGAATTGACCCTGTGGATAGATCAGGAGCAACTTAGTTGCCCAGTGTTTCCCCTCCTTTTTTGTAACTACCAAGATACAAAGCTGCCGCTGTGCAGACTTTATATTCACGGCTCCATCTCCAAGCACTGAATAGACTCCAGGAACATTTCTGCCTTCCAAATCCTTTTGTAGATGTTGGCTTCTCTAGAGTCTTTTCTCCCCGGCATGCAACCAGCACCATGAAGTCGGGCAGGCTGGAGCATACCTCGGTTGCGGTGGCGCTTGTTCTCCTTTCCCCTTCGTAGCTGAGGTGGAGTGGATCGGGGCAGGAGGCACCTGAGCCGTGTTGGGGCAAACTGTCCGGCAGACGGCTCTGTGCAGTTGTGTAAGGCTGCAGCGCTGGAAACTGCATGGCTGCTAAGGAAGGGGAGGGGCTTTGGGGAGGGCATTTTGTCAAGGACGTTGGAGCAATGTGCCTCCTTGTCCGGGACCTTATGAGATGGCCACAGTGAGGAACGCTTAGGAGAAATAGTCACCTGCTTGTACAAGGGAGAAGTTCACTGCTCCGTTTCCTTGTGAACTGACATCTCTCTTGGAAGGTAGGACATCATTTCTTTGATTGAACTGCAGCCCTGAAAATGAAAGTAAGATGCAGCCTATAGGAGAGCCTAATGAGCTTTGCTGTTTAAAAGCAACCTCAGCTGGATTATAGGGATTTGGGCCCCGGGAAAGGAAACACTGCATCATACCAGCAATCAGACATCATGGGAGGGGAGTGTGTGCCCTAAGCTATCCCTGGGAAAAGGCAAGGGAGCACAGAGGGGAAGGAGATGCAAGTCAGGATTGTCATGCTGCAGGACACTTTTGTGCAGTCGCATCTCTACCACAGATGGCTGTACAGTCGGACTGAACTTTGACAATCTGTGGCTCTTGCAGCGGAGCAGAAAAAGGTGGGGGTTGGTTTTTTTCTCAAAAAAAAAAACCCAAAAAACAAAAAACAACCCCTCAATAAAAAAGGCTTCTTGTCCCCTTGCTCCTCACTCCCCCATTTCAGAATGAGCCAGACAGCTCACTGAGTTAAAGGGATGAAACAAAATGGCCTCCTGGTGCTGGAGCAGAAGTCAGGGAGGGAGGTGATCCCCTTCCTTCTCTGGGAACCATCAGTTACAGCCCTAATCACGGTATTTTAGCAATCTCCTTGAGGCTCTTTGTCCATTCCCAGAAGCAGTGACCCCACCCTGCTGGGATGGAAATGCTTCTAGATACGGAGTCCTTGTAGAAACTAGCCTTGTTGCTTAAACCATTGTACGTGGCTGCTTCCTGGAGTTGGTTTAAAACCCGTCCAGCCTTGCATAACTGCAGTAAATGGCATTTATTCTCCTTTAAAACCTAGGCTGAGGACACATAATAGGAGCAGAGCCAATCTGCTATTGTCATGTTACTGATGTACTGTGCTCCCCAGCACCAGCAGATATCTTTAAAGCTCTGTAACAGTGAAGACTGGGAGATTTCCCTTTCCTTCCCCCTTGTCAAATGAATTGCTCTCTCCACTGCGAGGTTTTCAGCATCCCAGCTAGAGCAGTGTTACTCTGCAGGCTGCTTGTTATACAGCGGGTAGCTTTGGTCCCTTAATAGGTTGAGACACGCAAAGAAAAAGCATGCCAGAATATTGTTTTTTGGAGGCTCCCTTTGAAACGCAGGGGAGGGAAACCTGAAGGGTATATTCACTCTAGTATGCCCTGGTTAATCTGTGCTGCTAGCTCTGTCTAGGTGGCTGGGTACCAGAAAAGCTTTAAATAGAGACAGATTTTAGAGGACGTCATGGCTGATTTAGTAACTGGAGTAGAAAAGGCACTTGCCAAAACTGATCCCTTGATCCATGTAAATCAGCATTTGTATACGGCTGCCCGTTAGTACTGTTCTGTACAGTTAGGAGTGAACGAGCGATAGGTGCTTGATGGCAGGAAAACAAATGGGGGGACATGGATGGAGAAAATAGAAACTTATATGCTCTGCACCTGCAGATGAGCCCTATACCATATGGAGTACCAGTGAAGCGGCTGTTAAAGTTACTTGCCCTTGACTACAAGGAATGGGACTGGCAACCTCTGCGTTTCAAAGCTTTTTCCATGAGGGGGCTTTACCTACTACCTGTGTGTATCAAGGATGCTTTACTTTTCTCTGGGCTGGTGTTTTTCAAAGGAACTTTGGTTTAAATCATTTTGCCACCTTTTTGAAAACTCTGCAGGCCAAATGAACCAGTTATACTATTTCTAAAACACAGAGAAGAAACTTTTTAGCAAAGGAAAAAATACCTGCTCTTCGCTTTTTCTTGTAACTTTTTCTTATGTCTGCTAAAGAAAGTGAGTAGCAATATTGACCGTGTTGGTGGCACTTGGTGATACCACGTGCTTCTGTTTTGTGTCTCCCCCTCCTTAATATGTATTTTTTTGCAGGTATTCAAAATGTCAATTCTCAAGATCCACGCTCGTGAAATCTTTGACTCCCGTGGGAACCCCACTGTTGAGGTAGATCTCTATACCAACAAAGGTGAGTTTTTGTTTTCTGAACTCAACTTGTGAGTTGTTTCTGGCCAGGAGTGTTGTGCACCTGCAAGGTGGTCCCCTCCATATGCCAGGGTCTCCTGGTGATGTGAAATGGGCTTACATGGAGAGAGGTTAAGGAGGAAGAGCTAGATGGTATTTGATTGGCATATAAAACTTTTTATGGTATTACTGTTACCTGAGCTGTTCTAGGGGAGGGGGAAGAGAGAACCCCTAAATCTTACGGCTTATTTTGGAAGATGTAGGCTCAGGGAGTTTCTCCCTCCAGCCCTTTTGTGTCTCTTTCTCATTTTAATAGGCTTCTCTGTAGCATGGAGACTGCTACACAGGAACCTATCCAGGGAAAAGCTCTGGCTTCAGCACCTATCTAGTAGTAGCTGGCAGACTGAGACCAGTGGCTGGCAAATTATCATGGGGTCTCCACTTCTTAGTTTCAAGCCCCTGCCCCCAGTATGAAAGGGTGCTAATTGGTACTCCACAGGTGAGGCTTTCATGTGTTCCTTCTGCTTTACTACTACTCCTGCTCAACTCATTAAGCTACACTGACTATTGAAGCCCAAGGAAGAACTTCCATCCAATTTCCCCACGATGGACTCTGTTGGCTTAATTAAGCTGAGCATGCACAGTGGGGTTTCCAGTGAGTGTGTGCTCATGGTCACGTCCTGTGCACAGAGCTGAGAACCTCCCTGTCCTGCAAGCTTTGCCAGCAAGTGATGAGTAGAGTTTGGGAAATTGGACGGACGGGGACAAAGCACACTACTGGTTTGACTCTACTGCCCTGTGCTTGGGTGTTAGAACAAGCTGATGTGCCCACTAATAATGCGTTCTCTGTCCAAGCTGCTGCCTAATGAGTGTGGAAGAGCTAATAATTTTCTCACATGTCAGAAAAGTGAGCACTAAATAAGCTTGCTTTTAGTTTGCACAGCTTCCCCTGCAGGCTTTGTGGTTACCAGCAGGTCTGAAGTAGACCTTTTTTACCCATGTCTCCTACAAACCTGCATGGGAATTTCTGAACTTGAAAACAGGGGCTCTAGGAGAGTAGCCTTTAAATGAACTACCTAGCCTCAAGTGGCCTGATATGCTGTTGCTGGCAGCTTTGTATGTGGCCAGTGGTGCTTACCCTGCTGGAAGCAGGGATGAACATCACTGAGGACTCACTGGGGCAAAGCCCCCATGTAAGCAACAGCCTTTGGCTCCATGCTTCAACAGCCACCAGTGGTGGCTTTGGCTTGCTCCTCTGCTCTGCCTTGCCCTCACTCCTCCCTTTTAAGGTGTACCTCACGTTCAGCTCTCTAGTTTTGACTTCTCTTCAGAAGTGCTCGCTACCACTTCCTGTAGTCGAGCAATCTCTCTTCCTCAGCAGTTAGCTGACTGTAGGCCCCAGGCTGCAGTGCAAGCCTAGGAAAAAGAAAATCTATCAGTGCCTTTTGCTCCAACACTGCTATTTTAGTGTGGGATGTTTCTAGACTGGGCTGGGCAAAATGTGGCCCGTAGGCCAGGTGCGGCCTGCCAGGCCATTCTATCCAGTTCACAGGGCCCCTAAAAAATTTAGAAAATTAATATTTATCTGCCCCTGGCTGCCTGTCATGCGGCCCTCGACGGCTTGCCAAAACTCAGTAAGCAGCCCTCCACCCAAAATAATTGCCCACTCCTGTTCTAGACACTGCTAGACAGCTTCTTTGCTATGGTTGGGGCTGCGTATCTAACCTCTTTCATCTCCGTTGGTCACCACAAGGTCAGCTCCTGCTTCTTAGTAGGTTCTTTTTGTTTGGTGCCCCATGTCTGATGAGATCTGACACTTCCATTGTGCTGATCCATACTAGGGTGGCTTGGTGGAATGAGCACTTACAATAGCTGTAATACATAAATGCCTTCTCTTAATGAGATGTCCCAGCCTAATCTCCCTGGTGTGATGGGATGAGGACAGAAGATCAGTGGGATCCAAGTGGACTCCTTATTTCTAAAGCGAGTGATTCCCTCTTTCCCTATGTAGAGCAATCTCAGCAAGGAGAGTGGAGTGCCTGGAGCTTATGCTCAGCTTGAGGGGCAACTCTTAAATGACTAGAAAACTGTTCTGGCAATGGGCAAATCCACAGCATGACCTACCCCATTGGGACTAGTCTGAAACGGTTCTTCTGCTTCTGCTAGGAGCCAAAAATTGTATTTGCACTCTCTGTATTGAGTAAACCCTGGCAGGGATCCTCTTTAATAGGAATTAAGTGATGCTTCTCTGGCTAACTTGAGGCAATTGCCAGTCTCTGCTAGATGCCTCCATTGCTTAGTGACATATGGGTGATTTATCCATCTGCCTATGAGTCATAGAGAGCCTGTGTCTGCTGCAGACATAGAGGTGGCAAACTCTTGGTTTGTTCGTTTTTGGGGTCGGGTTTGTTAATCCAGCCCATCTTCCACAAGTCAAGCTGTCTTGATGGGTTAATCGTATAGTCAGAAGTTCTATTAGGGAGGAAAGTTTCCTGATTCAGCAAGGAGATCTCAGTGTGAAGAGGGTATCTCTAGTGATGTCGCATTAGTGGCCCAGGCACAGAAGGCTCCCTGGGATCCAGTTCCCTGTGAGTTGCACACCTTTTTTCTGTTTTAATCAGGTCTGTTCAGAGCTGCCGTTCCAAGTGGTGCCTCAACTGGAATCTATGAGGCTCTGGAGCTCCGTGACAATGACAAGACTCGCTTCATGGGAAAAGGTAAAACCCCAAACTCACTTTTCTCTGCAGTGTCCAGCCTGAGCTGATGTGCAGGACATGTTGCTGCCAATATTAGAGCGCCAGTTCTTGTGCCAGCTGCCTCCTGTTAGATCACAACAGAGCTGCTTGACCTTCCATCCCATCCTCCCTGCTGTGTGTTAACATGATGGTTACTGGCCTACATGAAGTCATTTTAACAGCAAGTTGGGTTGAATCGCTGCATGGAAGTGCTCTGATGCTGTGTTCTCAGAGCTCTAGAACAGCTAAAGCTGGTAACAGCAAGCACCTTAAATGCTTGTGCTTGCCTAGGTGAGTATACAGAGCTCAGCCGCTCCTGTTTAGCTGGTCCTGGATGTCAAGGTATGCAGTAGCTATTTCATCAGTCAGCTTTTGTGTTGCCCTGCATGTGACTTCACACAAGAGAACCCTTTGTGGACCACAGAACAGGTGCTGAATGATGGGCATCCAAGCCACCCAGTCCAAGAGCTCGTTATCTAGACTTGCTAGCTAGTGGAATGATCGCTATGTAGAGCCTGGAGAGAGCTTGTGGGCTGAGTGCTGAAAACGCTGTCCCCAGAACCATTTGGTAGCAATCTGTGCAGTCTGGTATCAAGTTGAGGAAGAAAAACTAAAATTTCCTACTGATGGAATCTGCAATCCAAAGCAGCTGGTGGGGATGCTGAGCTAATCTTAAAAGGAAGCTTGCCTGTTGTGCTCCAAATTCTCTGCAGATGTTGTCCAGTTCAAAGAACAGCTGCATTTAGTCAGCTCCATCTTGTTTGGGGCAGGAGCTTATCTTGCTGAGAGGGCAAAGTTAGCTTTCAAACTGCAGTCTTTAGGATGGGCCTGCAAAAAGTATGACCATGAGCTACTGCAGTCCTGATCATGGTGACTTGGAGGGAACTGCCAAGTGATAACTAGAGCCTGTGCATTTGTGCGGTTCCGTCTGTAAACAAGTCAAAGTGCCCACGACCATGAAACACTCGGTTTATAAACCTGTCTCCTTCAGAGGTGCAGAGCTGTTTCTTTCCTGTTGCTGTAATAACCTGTCAATTTGAGTAATTAATGCAATCACTTAACATTATTTGCATTGGTGAGGTTTGTATGTTGATATCTGTTACTTCTCTTGCTCTGGGGTGGGGGGGATCATGTATATTTAGAAGCTCTGAAGGCCTCCATGGTGCTGTATATTCTACATGTAGTCAGGTATTGCTGCTGTATATCAGAGTCAGGAGTGATTAAACTCCTGTTGTTGGTCTTCACTTGAGTGGTGGTTACTATCCAGGGGGAACTAGATCCAATATAATGCAACATCCATATTGGGAAAGAACAGGGATCTTCATTGGATTATGCTCTTCAATTAAAATAAGAAAAGAGCTTAGCCCAAAAGCATAACAATAAACATGGGAATGCAAAAAATTCCCAGCTGGCCAAGATGTGGAGCCCCTCTGGTAGAACAGAAGGACTTGATGTCTCAAATTTAGCCACATCAAGTGTTTGGAAGCACTCCTAGGCAAGGAGGGGAAGCCAGACATTTCTCTGTGCAACTAGGATTTTGAGGGCTTATCTGTTGCTGCAGGCGATTCTGTGTATGGAGCCCCAGCTCTCTGCTTGAAATTACATCAATGTCTACTGCTAGCAAGCCTGTCTGAAGACTGTTGTGTCGGGCAAGGAATGAGATGCGGGAGCAACAGGCTCTCAGATCTCCAATAAAGAATGAAGGGAAATTAGGCTGAAGCTTTCTGAGCAGATGGCAGGCAAGAGCCTCTGTTAAATAATGCAGGTTGAATCTGCCTTCGCTATTCTTAGCCAGTTTTATTTAACAGACTTGCTCAATGTCCTCTGAACAAAGGAGCCTTTTGTACCAGCTACTAGCTTGCATCTTGTTTGAGAGCCCTCATCACAGGAGAGGGGTATGTGTGCGCTGCTGAATTTTTCTATATGCTATGCTGATGGAGGAAAAGCAGTCTGTCAGGGTTTTGGGGGGAGTGATCTCTTGTAATGGCAGGCTGTGCATTTTGCAGGCACAACTGACTTGCTGGATTGTTTTGATTCTGCGTTGAACAGCTGGGCTGATCCTAGCTGTGTACGGAAGTAGCATGGCTGTGTGTGCTGATCCTGCATCTGTCCTTCTCCTCTCATTCATTTGTTCATCAAAGGAAAATGTTGGCGCACGGGCAGCACCTTGTACTGGCGGGCAGCTGCTTCACCCAAGGGCAGAACTCTGATACCTGCACCCATGTTCAGGACATGACCTGGCTGCAGATATTTAAACAAATAAAAATTGGCCCTTTTCTTAAATCCTCATTCCCTTGCCTCCTTTCCCACCCCTGCTACTTAAAGATCCTGAAGGCCTTTCCTGAAAGTTGCCATGTTCAGCCAATGAAGGCCTGAAGTGCTGCAAATTTCATAGTGGATTGTGGAACTGGGCAAGATGCCTGGGGGGGCATAATCAACCAGGGTTGGCTGGAGATGAGTAACTTGCAGTGTCTTGTGACCTCTTTGCTTCTATCTGCTGCTGAGGATAGGGCATTCTGCTAGCCTGAGATGGCCACAGTCCTTCCCGGGCTTGCCTCTGACCTTTTTTTTTTTTTTTTTTTTTTTTCCTCTTTCTCCTTCTGCATGGTCTGCTTTGTTCTTCTGTGGGCTTTCATCTCTTCCTTTACTCTTGTCCATTTCACTCTGTCAGGTGTATCCAGAGCTGTTAAGTATGTTAACGAGTTCCTGGCGCCAGCATTGTGTACTCAGGTAATGGATGCTTGTTTCATTGCAACCTGTCACATGGACAGATTTCTCCAGTGCATGGTCTTGCAAACTAACCTTCCAGCAGGCATTCTTAGATGATGGCTATTTTCCATGATATAACTTGCCACACACCTGAGCTCATGTCCTGAAAGCATTTAGACCTGGCATTGAAAACCAAGGTTTGATGGGTGGGAAAGAATGACATAGGGTGGTTGGGGTCAGGTTTCTCTCTAGTGATCATCTATTAATGCCTGCTTGGCCTGTGTTTGATCAGTGATTTGATGTGCTTGTTCCTTCCAGGTGTCTCAAAAGCTGTTGAGCACGTCAATAAAACAATTGCACCTGCACTGATTAGCAAGGTAGGAGCATTCATTATTTAACTAACACCAATTAATGCAAATGCAGCATTTCCCAGTAGTAACTCGTTTTGCCCCCCTAAATGATGGTAGCTGGCCTTTGTGCAAGTGCATGAGAACAAGCTCCCTTCTAAGGACAATAACAGCATCCACTCAGTGCAGCTATAACCCAGAGGTACCCAAAATGTTGTCTGACTTAGTCTGTGGCAACATCTGTATCTTGCAGCACACCGATCCACCTTGTGAATGTTCAGTGCACACTCCCTCCTCATGCCAAGAACTCAAAACCCATCTTGTGTAATACTTGGTTCTTAGAAGCTTAAAGACTGGGATTTCAGTTTCAACGTAGTTTATGAGCCTGGCCTGACTCAGAGTCAGTTATCCAAGCCAGCCTATTTTTTTAGTAGCATCCACAGTAAGTGATGTGGTTGCAGTGGTAACAACCTCTGGAGACAAGTCCGAGAAGTTAGAATGAGGGGGAAAGCTTATGATGGGTGTGAAAATCTGAGTGAACTAGAGTCAGTTATCCTTATTTGCAGTCTAAATGAGGAATGTGCGGCTTCAGTTGTCCTTCTCCTGGGTTGGGGTGGAGATGGAGTGGGGAAGCTGACTTAACTAAAGTGAGGATTAAGAATTTCCTTCAGGGCATGGAAGTAATGCAGTTGGGGATCAGCAGGGGTGGGGGGTTTTCATTACCTGCCTCTTAGAGCTTATCCAGGTTTACTTGATTACAGTTTATACCTAACTAGAAGCCAGTAGCCATTCATATAGTAAAACTAGCTTCCCTGCTCTGCCGTTGCATACAGTGTTTTCCTCCTGGGACTGTGTAAATGACTGGGAGTTGCAAACTTTGCACCACTTCAGGCCTCCAGCTAATACCAGTCCTTGAAGTGGAGGCAGTGAAGAAATCCACAGGCTGGCAGGTGACACAGTATGGCTTTATTTCTCAGTGGGGTTTCACCTTGTCCTTCCCTTCTGTAGAACATCAATGTTGTGGAGCAGGAGAAGATTGACCGACTGATGCTGGAAATGGATGGATCAGAGAACAAGTGTAAGTGACACTTTCTCTGCAGACTTGCTTGCTTGGCAGCGAGTGTGTCCTGGATTGTGATGTGAAGGCAATGAAGTGTCGGAGCAGTAGTCAGAACAGAGTGTTGTATGTATGTGTGTGTATCTCCTACCTGGGGAAATGAGCTTAGCTCATTGCAGAGGGGCTGTGGGCAATGGTGGCTCAAGCCTGAGCCTTCATTCATCTACTTGGCTCATCTGCTCATCTCCTCACACTGTGAGGCACCCTTTAATGGCACTTGTGGTACTCCAGGGTGCCCTGGCACACTGGGTGGGAATCACTGCTCCGCACCATGGCCCTCACTACTTTACCATGATCCCTAATGGCCCACAAGAATAGTCATTGATAAAGGAGGTGCCTATTCCCTTTACTAGTCTACCGATAGGATTGTGGGCTCTATGTGCTGGTAACCTGTTGGTCCGTGGGACGGAATTTGGCATGTTCAGAAATAAGGAAAGCCCCTCAGTAAATGGAATTGAACCAAGTGAGAGCAAAGAAGGGAGCTTGGCTTGAGACTGCCTAGGTTGTGGTCAGTGGCTCAAACACTGGCTCATTTATAGATTATAAAATTAAAGCCATAATCCCATTAACATAGCTGACTTCCTCTGAGGTGAGGTGGGTTTGATCTGTATAATACACCAGGTGACAGTTTCCCTGTTCTGTTCCAGCCAAGTTTGGTGCTAATGCCATTCTGGGTGTGTCTCTGGCCGTGTGCAAAGCTGGTGCTGCTGAGAAGGGTGTACCCCTGTACCGTCACATTGCTGATCTTGCTGGGAATTCTGAAGTCATCCTGCCAGTTCCTGTAAGTCTTTTTAGTTTTGCTGCTTTCCTGATGTTCCTTTCTTATTTTTGTGGAAAGAGATTTTCCAAAATGCCAGAAGGACCGAGAGTGTGGCGTTGCAAGATTATGGGACTCCTGCTTCTCACTGGCTGCTCATAATCTACTTCCTTCCCCCCGAATGACAGCAAAGCTGCAGCAGGGTGCATCAGCACAGTACTCTTGACTTTGGAGAAAAGCTCAACTAATAGCTTGGTCAAAGGGTCTCTTGCTAAAACTCGCTTTCAGGACCTAAACTGTGGTTGAGGGTGCAGATAAAGCAGACTGTCACAAGACTTGTGCTGCAATGTTCTTGGTGCCCTATTTAGGGAAATGAGTAAGCCTTTAGTGCAGAGTGAGAAGTGTGCAGGGTGAGTGAACCAACAGCCTGGGGGCTTGAGGGCAGGAGTAGAGCCTGTGAGCCATTGCCTGCATTGGCACTGACCTTGGTTAGCCAAGAATTGGACCCAAAAGAGCAGCTGGTTTGGACAGCAGACTGTTGCCTGTGAAGGGAAAGGAGCATCATACGAAACCACTTAAGGCTTATATTGGTTGTGGCGAAAAATGGAAAGTGCAGTGTTCCCAGTAGAGAGCTGACCCTGACCTCTATTCCTTTCCTTTCCAAGGCTTTCAATGTGATCAATGGTGGCTCCCATGCTGGCAACAAGCTGGCCATGCAGGAGTTCATGATCCTTCCTGTTGGTGCTGAGAGCTTCAAGGAAGCCATGCGCATTGGTGCTGAGGTCTACCACAACTTGAAGAATGTCATCAAGGAGAAATATGGAAAGGATGCGACCAACGTGGGTGACGAGGGTGGCTTTGCTCCCAACATCCTGGAGAACAAAGAAGGTAAAAAAGCAGAGTTGAGCTTGGAGAGTAAAACTCTGGTATCACATATCAGTGGCAGCAGGGCTGAACTTGCTTTGGCAGAGCACAGGCTCTAAGTCTCTTAAACTGTTGTCACAGTCTCTTTGACTATTGTCCTTGCTGTTCCTTTTTGATGGACTTTGAATTACATGTCAGCTAGTCCAATCTCCTACAGCTTTCTTGGGATAAACTTGATGTACTGGGTACTATTTACTGCCACTTGCACAAGACCAGGCTTCCCACTATCAGAATCTGCCTGGGCTCTGCCTGGATTGTTAGGTAATAGAGTCATCCCATGAACTTGTGCAGGTGAACAAGGTAGCTTGGGTTTTAGTGACTCGCTGCAACTTCATTCCTGTGTTGCCTTCGTGGAGGACAGCCATGTCCTGCTCAGGAGCATTGAGGGGGATTAGAAAGGGGTAAACATGTTAACATCCATCTTAGTTGGGTGTGAACACTTAGCTTGCACCGAAGAGAATTTGCTGTTGCTGGTCTGCCCTTAACCCTGCCTCCCTTGTGGTGGAGGGGATGTCTTAAGTTACTTTTTGGCAGCATGCAACCTGACAGGCAGAGTGAAGGAGTGGAACAAATAGACCTCTGTTCCAGTGCCTCAGTTGCTGAGGCAGCGCAAGTCTCTGGGAGCAAAGCCGCCTTTCCAGCAATGCGGAAAGTGCCTTCGTCTGCGCCTAGCAGCATGCAGCAGCCATTTGCCACGCAGTGAGGAGGGGAGCCACTTAGCATCCAGTAGGGTGCTAAAGATGCTTCTGTACTACCAGAAAGCTGTTTGCAACAGAGTCCACAGTTGCCCTCTAAAATGGTGTTCTGCTGAGGGTGCCTGAGCAAACATCCAGGTGTTCTCTGTATCCCAAAAGCTGCCACTTCTCCTTAACACTAACTGATAAGATCAGTCAATTTTAACTGTATTCTTCCCTATCCTCCTACCTTTTCTTCCCCTGCCCCCTTAAGAACTGTGTTAACAATTCAAGAGGCCTCTAATAATTAAGTTCCATCTGGAAATCAGTACTGCTTCTGGCTAATTCTCTTGCAGCTCACTCTAGATTACCACCAACACCGCTTTAGTCTTATCAAATACAGTGCGAAACTTGTTACTGTAAATAATCAGGTGCAGCTGCCACTTGGCTCAATGTCTGGGAGGAATGATGGGGGTCTTATTTCTGTCTCATGACGATCACCCGGCAGTCCCCTTTTCAGGCAGCCAAGTGGTGCTGTGTATCAAAGGGCTCTGCAGCCAGGCCGCCTGTCAGGAATAGCTGCTTGTATTGTGGGGCGGGGGGGGGGGGCCCGGGGAAGGGCAAAATGCAGCCCTTGGGTTTGGGGGGGGAGGGGGGGAAAAAAAAC